TTATTATTATTATTATTATTATTATTATTATTATTATTATTATTATTGGCTTACGGGAGCCGTCGCTCGGACAGTCCGCCTCGCTGCCTCGGTCGCTCGTGCTCGTCCTGCCGGGTCTCAGTCCCGGACTCTCCGGCAGTTCTGTGACCTCCAGTCTGTCCTCGTACTCCGGGGACAGACCTCCGTCTCCGCTCGTCCTGCGCCGTTTCTCCGCCCCGATCAGCGCCTCCACGGAGAACGCGTGCGCCTTGACGCTCATGGCGCACGGCGAGCGCCGCTTCTCTGCCATGACTCTGGGTTTGTGCGCGGCAGAGGCAGAAGGAGGTGGAAGTTGTGCAGGAAAAGTTTCCAAGCGCAGCATCCACAGAGGCGGCACGAGCTGTCAGAGTCCAGGAGACAGTTGTCCCGTCTTAAAGACGAGCGTGCAGGCGCAGGAGGGACAGCTCTTCGCGGTCCGCTCGGTGCCGTGAGGACTTTTGGACACTGTCAACAACCGAACTCCCAGAAAGAAAAGCCGGAGAGAGGGAGCTGTCAATCACAGCACAGAGCAGCCAATCAGGAGTAGTCTCAGCCCTCCGGAACCTTTTGATGTCCCGCCCTCTGCGGGGGCCGCTCGTGCAGCCATATGTGGTCAGAGCAGAGCCGGTGAATGAATCATGTCTGCAGAGGCCCTCTCTCTGTTCCTCTCTGTGGCAGCGCGCGCACTTTCACACTCCGGCCCGACATTGGTGCTCCTCATCAGGAGCTCCGACATGTGCTCCTCATCAGGAGCTGCTCCGCAGAGAGGAGCGTCTCCTGCACAAGATGAAGCCACACTCTGGAATATGCTCTATTCTCTGTTATTTAGTTCCAAACCAATGTTTAAAATCTAGTTCAACAACACAGACTTCAAGGAACTACATTATTATTATTATTATTATTATTATTATTATTATTATTATTATTATTATTATTATTATTATTATTATTATTAAGGATGTGTTGTTAATGACTCTCAGCTACTCCCACAACAAGTTTGAGCTCAGTGTCTGTGAAAGTGAGTTGCAGACGTTTTTGTCTTTTTTTTTTAAGATCCGTTGGCTCTGGCGGCCATCTTGAATTGAATTAGCACCAAGAGTCAGTCAGCTGTAGATGTGCAGCCAGATACTATTTTACAGAGGTTTCATTAAAATCTGTCCAGTGGTTCAAGACATATTTTGCTAACAGACAGGCAGAGTTGACTTCATGCGCAACAAAGATCTTGCGCATTCTGTTATCATTAAAAACTTGTGTTTGGCGCTCGTGTGTCAAATTAAAATGACTGGGTTGAAAACATTTCTGATGCTTTTTACGGTCAGGTGGCTGTGGCGGCCATCTTGAATCGCACTGACGCCAACAATAATTGATGTGACGTCACCAACAATAAATCAGAGCACGTAAACATTTCTCTCTCCGTCAAGATGAAGCTCTGAGATTAGAAATGACTGAAAATCACAGCAGCTGATTCTGGGGAATAATCCCCGAACCGGTCCAGAACCTAAAGTCTTTTTATGCGCGCGCTCCCGGCTCGTGCACCCCCACGGACTCGCTAATGAGTTACTGGAGGTGTTGGCACAATGCGGGGAGGGAAATGGATTTTCCTGATGTCGGACCTTTAAATAAATAACACGTCGTGGACGTTTATTGTCATAAATTCAGACTGTCAGCCCGTGGGGGGGGGGGGGGGGGACAATCCACGAGCCTTATCAGATCAAACGCTGCCTGCTTCACGGCCCCCGGGCTCTGTGGGAAAAAGCATTTCTTTCTGATTCTGACATCATTTATTAGGTTGAGGATTGTTTAGAAACCGCCTCTGCTCTCTGACACCAACATTAAAAGCTTTAAAAACCTCACGTGTTTGCTTTTCATCGCGAGTTAATTCAAACTACACTCAGTAAGTTTGATTTTCACTCATTCGTTTGTTTTTATTGAATAGAAACGGAAAAATAAATAGGCGAGTCTTAATTTAAAAAGCTATAATTTCATAAACAATGTTGACAAAGAGCTGCAAGCCGATTTATTGTTAGTTTACGCTTATTGTCTTGCATTGTATTAAAATATATGACATTATGAACGATTACAAAAATTCACTTTTTTATTGAGGAAAATTTAGCTTAAATTAGCTGTCACTATTCAACAATCTGTAATAATAATATTAGTAATAAAGCAGTATATGTAATAAAAATCAAATGATGCTGGATTAAATTAAAACGAGGCTTTTGCAGCATCTGTAACAAATTATTTAACTGGTTTGTAAAGATGTTGAATTTATTAAGGGGAGGGATTATTTTAGTAAAATGATAAACAAGTATTTGTTTTTATTGCAAAGACGGTATTAAAAACAGAAATTTATGTTAAATACACATATTTAAAGTGAAATGATTGTTGTTATGCTTATGTTTAAATAATTTATCAGAATGAAATAATGTTACAAAACCTTTAATTTTATGACAATTACACTTTAATGTTTTTGACACACTCATCTCTCACAGCTCTGACCCCGGGCGCGTTATTTATGTATTTATTTTTCAAGTTTGGCTTTATTATTTTTATTTTTTGTTCAATTCAGACTAACATAATGTCACAGTTGTGACAGTCTGTCAGGACCTGCATCGAAATCCTGCTCCTGAAAAAAAGTCCTTTTCTACTTTCCTGAGGCCTTTTTTTTTTATCTCAGTATGATTTAATCTTTTTTTGCTGTAATTCGTTCACCCCTCTCCGCCAAACTTGAACAAATAATTAATTTAAATGTATCAACAAAAACAGTTTTTAAGTTGTAAGTCATTAGCAGTTAACGAATATAAATAAATAGTTGGGCTGTTTGTTTTTAAAGCGACTCGTTCGTTTCCTAACGAGCGCAAACTGCGCAATTTATGCTAATTAGCGCAGGTGCGTCTCGACCTCTTGACCTTTTCCTTGCTGTGGACGCGTTTCAGCCAATCAGAAGCTGCGCGTGAGTTGTCCCCGTGGACACGGAGAGAACCCACAGCGAACAGAGCAGGCTGTTCATTTAAAACCTTTGGCTTAATTACCTGCCAGCTTTGAAGGGGAGCGGAGTTAGCTGCTAACGCCCGCGCAGGGGAGTCTGGGTAAAGCATTAACAGTTATTTAGCGCGTGCTAATGGGCACGTGGACCACTGCCTGGGCTTTTATGGCGGAAGTGGCCTTCAAATTAGACAAGGTGTGTGTGTGTGTGTCACCGAGTTAGTACTCATTAGAGGTTATGGATTAAAATAAGTTAAAGAACTGGTTTAAAGTGAGTTTTTTTTTTTTTAAATCTGTATTGAGGCCAGAAATTAATTTACAGCTCGGTCTGATAATGGGGCACAAAAATGAACACTATGCACATGAACAAAAATTATAATTAAAATAAAATAATTTGATAAAAATAAAACAACAATATATTATTATTATTATTTTGTTCTCTGGTCATACTTGGTTGGTGATCTAGACACTTTACCAAGCACAGTACAACACAAAAAGCCTGTTTTTATATTTAAAAAAATACATGGACAAGGAAAATGGCTTTAAGCACAGCAACTACATAAAATAGAATAGCCATACTATACATGAAACAGACAATGCACAATCCAATATCAAGCTTGAACACAACCAAGTATCATTTAGTTTATTTAGTAATGTTTTATATATATATATATTTTGAGGAAAAAAAAATTGTAATCCACAGAAATACTCAAAAAAAGAAAAGGGGAAAAAAGAACGAACTGAATGGGCAATGTGGGTGGGTCTAGCCATGACTCCGCCCTTTATCATTCACGCCCCTTCTCTTAAAAATGACTTTAAAGACAGTGCTGTACTGTATATCTATTGTACAACAAACAGTTTACGTCATATCGGTAGTTGTGAATTTGAATTCAAGACATTATGGTGACAAATTTGACTAAAACAGTTTTGCAGAAATGGCATGGTGGCTCAGTGGCTGTCACTGTTGCCTCACAGCGAGACAGTCACACGTTTGCCTTTCTGCCTGTGGGCGGACTTTGCAAAATCACCCTGCGTGGATTTTCTCCAAATAGGCCTACTCCGGTTTCTTCCCATGTTAAGTTAATGTGTAACTAAACTGTCCCGGCGTGAGTCGTGAGTGCAGTTATTTGTCTCTACGTGTCCCTGTGATGGACTCAGGGTGTCCCCTGGACAGGCGCCAGCTCCTCGTGTCCCGGAAAGGAAAAGCAGGAGGCAGCTGAACAACGCTACGAAGGAATTCATTCAAATTATAACTAAAACTTTATTCCACTTACAAGAGTATTCAAGATGAAAATAAATTTGCTAATTCAGACAAAGGAGTTGAGTCAATCTTGAACCTGTCAGTGTTTTTACACAACTTTCTAAACACAAAGTGACGTTTATCAAATACGTTTTATATATTTTCCCCATATCTTTAAATTTTCTCTCTCTTTTTATTTCAGGTTGTAGTTCTTGTCATGCGCTGGTTTCTGAAGAGATGCTGTTAAACACAGCACTGACCTCTCCTGTGGACGGAGTAGATAACTGCAGCTCTCCTCCAGGAGGAGAAGAAAGACAGAGTTGTGCCTCCCTTTAAAGTTAAGACCCCCTGAGCACCTAACGTGTCTTGGTGGGCCGAGCCTCATTTTGATCATTGTGGGACCCTCTGCAGGGCGCCGTCATTAAAGCCATAACTTGAACTCTTTACCCATCAGCAGTTGAGGCAACGCCGCAAAGCAAACGACGAGGCCCCCTGCAAGCACATCCTGCTTATTCTGGCCCCGAGTCACTCATCATCCAGATGAAGTGACCCCTGCTTTTCCTCACAAAGTTAACCTTTTATTGAAAACACAGTATTTACTGACACGCTTTATAGAAACTGATGCATCCATGACTTTTATTGAATTTCTTTATGAGACGATTCTGGTCTCAACGCTATTTTTTCCCCCTCGAGGTTTTCTTCTTCGAATGGTTTTCAATTTGAACTCCTGCTCTGGCTGCAAAGCCTCGTCTCATTCGCACACTGAGACCCCCCCGCAGCTCGACAAAACTAAAGATGCAGACCGCTGAAGAGTTGTGCACTATAGCATTTAAACGGTTGGATCATGTGAAGCCTGTTAAGAGCCGAGCCGAGTCACTGCCTCATCTTTATTTTTAAGTTACCTTGAACTAAAACACATTTAAAGGTGACTTAATTATAAACGGCCAGTCGGTTATCAGCCAGTGCTTTATTGTTTGGACAAGATAATAAGTTGGCAAATTTAAACCACAGGTAGAAAAACAAAGAAGATATTGTAAAATATTAATGAGTCAAAGTATCAGAATCTGTGTGATGTGACAGTGAGACGGAGCAGGAGAAAAAATATGTTGACTTTTCATTCTGCGAAAAGCTAAAAGTGATTTTGATCCTTGATTTGTAAATAAGGCATTTCTTAAATAAGCCAGTCACTGTGAAGCAGAGACTGAGCGTTGCATGATTCAAATACCGTTTTATGTA